CTTGATAAGGTGATGATGATTATATAAAGGTGGATGCTACTGGCAGAGTTTTAATTAGGATTAGCTTAAGATTCCAGTATAGCAGGCCAGTGTGCATACAGTACCCCCGGAGTACGTGGGCGAAGTCGCGAGTTCTGCTAGCATTATAATACAAGCGCTTTAGAATTTAGAAACGCGACAAGTCTTGAAACAATGCAAACAAGCTATCAAATCTTAGCTCTTTAAAATATAAGTATAAATCAAATAAAGTTCACATTCAACATTTCTGAAACTAGCTTTTGAATAATAAGTAAAATAAATCATTAAATAAATATCGTTCAAAATTATGATAGAGAATTCATTTCATTAACGGCATGTTAACTGTTATTGTTAATGATCGACACTTGTGTTCTAATATGCCGAGGATATGTTTTAAATGCTTAATGGCAGGTTTATCCATTCATTATTCCTTCCATTCATATTAACGGGTCTGTGTGTGTTATAATTCTCACGATATAAATTCCCTCATTGAAATGACAAGGTTGCGAAATTTACTGTCTTATAGTTTTAATAACGAAGTCAACGAGAACTAACTGAAAATTGTAAAAATAATCATTTTATTATAAAAAATAAAGAAACAACTTTTCAAATCGTATGATCTTGTTTCTACTCTTAACATTTAAACGGTCGTCTCTTTTTTCCTTTACAACTTAAAAAACAAAGGAACAAGATACATATTGCCTTTGTTGTAGAGTATAATTTTAAGTTGAACTGTGTGGTATAAATAATAAAAATTAGAGCTTCGTTCGCTCCGAGACTGCTACGGCTACGACCGACTTTCGGATTCTCGTCCGCGCACGTCCTTGTACTTTATAGGTCATTTGAAACGAGTTTAATTGCAAATATGGAAGGTAAACAAAACAAAAACAAAATGGTATCTTTAGTTGAGAGAAGTAATTGAGAATATGTCATAACTTAAGCAGATATTTTTATCAAATAAACAATAATTTGAATGACGTAATCACTTTTGATGGTTAGATTATTACTATTACGAGTGTCGTGACAAAAATGTTAAGATCTTTCTAATGCTTGAGATTTCGGTATGTTAAAGTACTAAGTGTATTTTTGCTCAGTAGCTAGTGCAGAGGTCTGATGCTGGAATATCTGACGGGGGCGGGGCAATGTAAATAAAGTACGAAAAATTGTAACTCATATTAAATATACTTTTATATAATATGAAATTTTTCTTAATATAAGAAAGTAGATTAAATTGTTCAAATTGCAGAATTTTAAAACGCTCTGATTGTGAGTTGGGAGATCTCAGAAGTTGGTGTAAAAATGAAAAAATGAGCTCCGAAAAACAGACTTTTAACGGTTGAAAGTTTATTGATTACTAACTTATAAGTATTAATAGATGAAGAATATTAATACGATAATTGTATGACAAATTGTTTATGATCATTTCTCTGCGAAATTGCCTTGATTGTACAAGGTTGAGACGGTCTATTAGTGTCGGTGTAATCGCTTGAAATTGAACGTTTGTTCAATGAATTATTACTACTCGTACGTTAGATATGATATCTTCTATTTTCTGACCAAAAAATACGTGTAATACATCAGGGAATCCGTTAATAATATATTATGGTTGTGTTGTGCTTCTAGCTAGCTTCTAGTTATGTGACTGTAGTAATAGTAAAAGACAACATTGTGTGTTGATGCAGATGTATTTCTGGCTGAAATGTGCTACTCATGCTTTCAACCTCGGGACTTGAATTTCTTAACCGCATTTGTAGGTTTAAGGAATTATTTTCGATTTACATACTTTATGTCCAACAGAGCGATTCCGAAAAATCCGAACCCGAATTCGAATTCACTCATATGTCCGAGAATTCACGACATTTAGTGTAGAAATTCTATTGATTCCAATTATTGTATTAAAATACAAAATAAGATTGATAGATTGTTCGTGTCTTAGATATTCTATCCCTATGTCATTTCGAAACTTGGTTCTCTTATGCCAATTCAAGGTTAAGCGGATGTCGCTTTCGAAGTAAATTCGGACATCTGAGTGACTTCGAATTCGGGTTCGGAATTTTATGGAATCGCAGGGCAGTCCCCATGAAGTCTAATGGGACGCCTTCGAGAATTAACCCTTGTAGGTAAAAATAATCACAATCGACCCACTATTGGAAAATATATTGTGGAACATGCTGTTAGCAAAAAATCCATTACTGGGCATTACCGCTTATCGATTTTATTATAGGCAGGCCCGCTGTAAATATTCTTTTTATATTCCTAGTGATTTAAAAAGTCTCTCTGATGTCAAATGCAAAATTATTTGCGTCTAGAGCAAAATTCTTGGAAAAACTGTGTTGCATTTAGAGTATTTAAAAAGTAACACTTTTTTGAGAATTTAAAAATTATAACTATTTATTAACCGACTTCAAAAAAGGAGGAGGTTTTGAATTCGATCTTATTTTTTTATGTTTGTTACCTCATATCTCCAGTGTTTATAGTCCGATTATTTGATAGTCAGAAAATTATTTTTGCATTCAAAAGAGTAGTGTCCGGTTGATACCATAGAATTTTGTGCCCGCTAAAATACAAATAATACCAAAATAATAGACTAAATTTAACTACTATACACTGTGCTCTGTACCGTGATCTGCACCGCGCCTTGCACCATAAACCGCCGCACCATGCTACTCGTTTGTGTAATGGCGGTATTGGAAGCGCGGCGCGGCGGACACCGACTAAAGAAGAATTGTTGAGTAAAATTTTATTATTTTTTAGCTTTTTAGTGGTTTTTATTAGGTATGTAGTTCGTATGACTAAAGTGTCCTTAATAATAAAAGAAATAGAATAGGAATTCAATAAATTTTGTAAAATTAAGCCTCAACTATCACGCTGACTTTAATATTGACTGTGGAATGCGTTGCACCATCTTCCTTGGCATAGTAAAACAACTTTAACCAGCGAAATTAGGCGGTTATACTTAAAGTTAGGAACGTCTTCCAACCATTGCCAAATGATATGATATATTTGCTTAACCGGTACTTTAACATGTTTGCTATTGTTAAAGTTGATGCAACTGACCCTAAGTAAATAGGGATGACGCCTGGATAAAAAAAAAGAAATTCTATTTAGTCCGTCAGTCACAAAAGAATTTCTTTTTTGCTTAAATTTAACAACTAATTGTTTAGAGAATAGGCATTAAAGTTGAGGATTGGGGGCTCGCTACGTCACAGCTTTGTAGAAAATATACATAAGCGTGACGTCATGCGACATTTCAACTCAATGTATCGCCGTTATTTATTGATTAAGAAAAAAATAGAAAAATATACGTATTTTATATTCTTCAACAATTTACTACTGACAAAAAAAAACGAAAATCAGTCGTCATCCCTATTTTACGTAGCTCGGTAGCATAGTAGATAAGCACCGCGGCTCGTTGGTGATAAACAGCTTTTGCATATCCAGGGTCCAAATGGATATAATAAGCATTTTTCATTAAGAATAAATGTTATTTTCTGGAACTACTCCATGCTTCGGAAGGCGCGTTAAGCCGATGGGCCCGGCTGAACGCGCCTTCCGAATTTGTCGTCGTTAGAAAGGCCTTTAGCCCCTACAGTGAGGATGTAAAAGAGCTGAATGATGATGAGAAATGATCATTACTGTAATCATGTTCATTTTTCAGAGATTTCCATGTCGACAATGTGATTCTGTTCAGAATAACAGAACTAAAAATTACTGTATGAAAACTGGTCTTGACAATAAATAAAATCATTCTTATTAAGAGTGTTTCTATTCTATCGTATACGAATACGATTGACCATGTCACGGACAATATCAAGCTGCGCGTCTCGATTCATCCAATGAGTTTAATTGGCTGATTAAGAGTAGCAGTGGTTGCTACTGTCTGTTTCTAGGCCGTATTGCTTTTCGTATGTACGCACTTGTTCACGCGAGTGACATTGACATCACAACCTTTGAGATTTTTTAACTCGTCATAGTATTACATATACTCGAATTAACCAACTCCATGTACTGAAATGTTACGTCGAATTCTACTGTAATCATCTCTAAAATGTTATTAGTGAGTATGAACAGTTATCATTTTATTTGGTTATTTCGGTTTCTGAATTCCAGAAAAGAAGAGTCTTCGTTTTTACCATAATGAATTTAACTCTTTAACAGATCAATAAAAATGTAATCTACTGTTGATATCACCGGCTTAAGGAAGTCGTCATACTATATGTTTACATAACGAGGTAGTAAACTATACATATTTAACGCGTGTAATGTAAACTTTAGCGAAGAAAGTATGTATATATACAATTGTACAGTCCGTACATATTTTATTCAGCATAAGACATCTAATCATTGGTCAGCAATGAAAGTTTAAAATACATTATCTTTTGATAAAACTACGGATTTAAGGCAACCGAATAAATTCTTATTTCTGTGTTTTTTAACTGAATAACGTATTATCCTATTATTTTTGTCTATTTACGTGCAGCATAATGTGCCGGGAAGAAATCACCAGCAAGCGATAAGGTCGCCTCGTTCCAAGTTCCCAACATCAATTCTGACTTGATGCTAAATATCTGAAATAACAAAATAAAATGTTATGTGATATAATTTAATAAAAAAAAAGACATCAATTTTAACTAGTATTTGCCAAAATTCTCGCAGATTATTGTCGAAATAAGGTTTCGTGTTCGAATCCTGGTCGGGTCCAATGTAAAAAATGAACTTTTCGTTATTTCTACATTCGTTGTTTCAGATATTTTGTAATACGAGGGCTTTTGCTACTCATGTTACAATCTGAGCAATATAAGTAAAAGTACAAGTATATGATGTCGTTTAATACCGATATATTTGTTAAAGAGCATTCGAAATGGTTTATCGAGATCCTTTTTTGCTCCACCCCTAAGTAAAGCTTACGTAAAGCTTGATATGCCTATGTAGCGTTGAACAAATTTACATTAACTAAAATAAGCAGAGACATAAATGAGTACCCACCTGACGTCATTAACCTACTTTTATTTATTAGTAATCGTTTGGAACGTTACTTTAATTACTTTAAAATGTGTCGTGTTTAGTGAAAGTTTATTACGACAGTAATTGTTTCATTATAGTTATGTGTATTGTTGCAGGAGGGCGAAGTGCATATCGGTTACGCAGGATGCCGATCGCGCCGCGCGGCCCACCGCCTGCATCAACACCGCCTTACCACCTGCTGCCCCGTAGGAGACCCACGCTGACCCCCAAGTGTCCTTCTATAATATAACGTTTAACTTTTATACGCCTCTTTTATACCAACCTTTAAGTATAAGTACGCACAGTGTTAGTGTTAAGTGTCGCGCTCTAGTGTGAGTGTATATGTGTGTCGATGGTGCGGCCGACATGGGAAAATCCTCGGCGAGAACACATGGCCAAGGTGAGTGATGTCTCCAATGCCGAATGTCTTAGAGGACACCTGTCCTCAGGGTTACACGTTACATTGAGTAGACTATCATATGGCGACCTTGCTGTTTCAATGGCATATTTCATTTTATTAATTATTAGTTCTAGATTATCATTATGACGTTTAACCATTATAATAACTATAGTTTATCTAAAGGAGACAAATTGTTAGGTAAAATATAACTATTATTTGTAAAACTATTTGTTGTATGTATAGGTAAAAAAGAGTGTTATGTTTAAAAGGCCTTAGTTACGTTATAGTCTGTAGGTGAATTTCTTTATTCCACCACAACTTTTAAATATGTGAGACACGATGTGGTTATTTAACTATTGTTCAGTGTATGCATATGTATCAACTATACTCCATTCATTATAGCATTAGACAGAAGTTAAATAAGGTTCTTTTTATGGTATACTTTGTGACAAAATATCAATAATCATGTTACTCTTAAGACTGACGGCTAATTTGCTACATATCCACCTAAATACCAGCTGCTAAACTTAAATTTTGTCATTTAAGCTATCTATTGAACAAATTTATGAGTATATGACTAACTTAAATGATTTATTAACTATTACAATAACAAGTGTTCATCGTAAAGAACCTACAGAAGCAGGGTTGGATAGTTTCGGCACGATTTTCATGTTACTATAACTCTTCCTTATTTAAAACGTCGCCTAACCCCTTCAAACGTTTCGGCAGTACAGTTTTTTAATTTTGTCAGACTATTATTAATAATAATAATTATTTATTCCCTCAACACAAAATTATGTTCTTGTAAAACTATAGACTCACATCTTAAGATTCTTAAAATTATTTATTATTTTTTCATAATTGTTAAAATCGTAATCTGGGATTGTCATCCATAGTGAATGCTACTGCCTTTCTTGTTGTTTTGCCGTTTTCTGTGATTAAGTTGTTATTGTTTTATTTTTGTTGTTAAGTTTTTGTTAAATATGGACGATGCCGGTGCAGGTCCGAGTGGCCTACAAAAATTACGCTCTAAGCCCCTACCCTCAACCTTTGACTAACTAATTACACTTACAATTAGAATTTATCAAAACACCAGACAGATAGTTTCAGTTTTATTTCCATGACGAATTGGGAGTAAAAGATAAGTAAGTTTTTGTTAAATATGGACGATGCCGGTGCAGGTCCGAGTGGCCTACAAAAATTACGCTCTAAGCCCCTACCCTCAACCTTTGACTAACTAATTACACTTACAATTAGAATTTATCAAAACATCAGACAGATAGTTTCAGTTTTATTTCCATGATGAATTGGGAGTAAAAGATGAATTTATAAAATGCTGGCCTCATCTCAACCCCGAGGTATCGTAAAAAATGGAAAATTGCCCAGCTCTTTCAGACTACCTAACATTCAAAGTTTCAACAAAACTAATAATATTTTTAAATTTATCTTGAAAATAAAATGTTCTGCACTGCTGCTTCTATGACCCTCTTTTTTCTAATGTTATAATGAATGGAGTATAATAAATAAGGGCATTTTGCATAACGCCTGCGCATTATAAATAATGACAATATAATTGGTCGATGTGGTGTTCAGAAAATCTGATAATTACCTAATACACATTGCACGGGCTGCGGTATTCTACGGAAGAGACATATGAGGAAACAAATAAATTTAACCATGTTATGGACCAAGTGATAAATTGAACTTTATACATAATGCCCGCTCATTATGAAAATTGCTCAATATGAGACAGCGTTTTAATAATAATTATTCAAACACTCTTGACTTCGATCTAGCCAAAGGACACAAATGAGATCACTTAAAATAAATTAAACGTTATTAAATTTAAATAATCAGTCTTATTAAGATTATTATAACCATACTAACTAACGAAATAACACGGCAAGTATGTGTCGCAATTTTAAGAAACTCTAAATTTCGAACTTATTTTCTATGGTCTTAAATTTCTCACATATCACGTGACATGCAGGGATAAAACAATTTCAACTTTGCAATTAGGTATGATATTAGGTATAAATTCCTTAGCTTCCTAATAAATTACAGTGTTTTAAACAAATACAAAAATACTAGCAAAATTTAATTTGTTGCGTATTTTTCGAATAATTGAAGCTCAATAACTGATGTGCTCCGCGCTTTGATATTAAGGGAAATTATACACTTTTTTGTCGTAATTAAAATAATAAGCTCATAAAAGAGTTATTAAATGACAACAAAATGTTATTATCAATCATTATATAAATTTATATTAATAAATAAACCGGTTCTGTAACACTTATAAATATATCTATATAAAATAATATAACCAGAACAAAAAGAATGGCTTATTCTAAAGCTGAGCTAATTATACTATTGACATTAAAGCAGTACCGTGATAAAACCGGTGCAAGGTGGCTTCGAAATAAATTTGGCGCTGTATAGGCGTAATCCAAACGAATTTTTGCGTCGATTCATAACTGTTGATGAGACGAGGATACACCACTACACTCCTGAAAATAAAGAACAGTCAAAACAGTGGGTTGGAAAAGGGGAACCAACTCCAAAGAAGGCAAAAACAATTTTATCAGCAAACAAGATTATGGCCACTGTTTTTTATTATGCGAGAGAATTATATACATTGATTACCTTCAAAAGGGTAAGACTATCAATGGTCAATACTACGCAGAGTTATTGCAAAGTTTGAAGTAGTACGAGGTGCTAATTAAACGACCTTTTTAGGCGAAGAACTTTTGTTTCATCACGACACCGTACCAGCGCATTCGTCAATTATTACCATGTCCAAAATCCACGAATTGGAGTTTGAATTGATGCCGCATCCTCCCTACTCTCCAGACTTATCCCCAGGGACTATTATCTGTTTCCTAGCCTCAAAAAATGGCTTGGCGGTAAAAGATTTAAGAGCAACGAAGAAGTTATCGAAGCTGTAAACAGTATTTTAAGGAGCTTGACGAATCCACGTTTAAAACTGATATAACTTAATAAGAACACCGTTATGAGAAATGTATCAGTGTTAATGGAGATTATATTGAGAAATAAAGCAAAAACAACATTTTGAGAACATTTTTTTTCTTGGTCAGGCCGGAAATTTTTCAGCCCACCATCGCATCTATCCAGAGATAGTGTGAGGTCCCATAAATCATAAATTATTAAAAAACGGGTTTCTTTGGTGTCACACTAGCGTTTCGAAAATAGAAGATTGTTCGTTTTCGGAGAAACAGAGTAAGCCTTTAGGTTTGCTTGCCCCTATTGGTAACGGATATTATAAAAGAATATGCCCGGATGTTTTTAAAATACTGTTACCCCCTCGTTGCGCATTTTCAGTAATGCCCTATTATTCAGTTGGTCTTATCTCCATCATACTAAAATACTAATATATCGTACATAAATTGATTCATATTCATAGTAGTCATATTATATGACGAGTTATAATATTAACCGGCTAAGCATAAGATCGATTAGCTCATTTCCCTTGACCATGGCACCTACAAGGGCTTAGAAAAGTATAGTTTTTGCTACACGACTATTTTAAGGGTTCTTTCCCTTCAAAGTATTGATTGATTTAAGTCAAAGTATTGATTTAAATATATAACTTCACCAGTATAATTCGAATAATCAATTATAATTCGAATAATGTAAAAACAAAGTTAACCGGAACTTTGTTCTGATCTGATCTGATGTAATTAACACGTTAGGGATAATTCATAAACATTATAGAATTAACTCGTAGTCACATTGAAATGTGATGATCCCAATCACTGACCATTCAGTGCCATTAATACTATAGCTTTTTATAACTAACATTTATTTATATCCAGTTAGCCGTTCCACAAATTAACTTTAATAATTTCGTAATAGGGTGTGTTGTCTAACGGCGCGTGTTACTCAATGAGTTATATAATGTAGTAGTATATTACATAACTTTATTATGTTATATGAAATATTTTTGTGTAGCGTACCTACGTGTTTATAATTTATAATATATAGAGGTTAAAGGTCAAAACATTTCTTTGTTTATAGGGGGCAATCTTAGGAAATATTGAAGCGATTATTAAAATTATTTTACCTACGTGAAGCTACATCATATGCGGGTGACATATGCTATAAATTTTCGCGGGCGAAGTCACGAAAAGCCACTATTATTATTAGGTATAAAAAAATTAACAAAATTATAGTTTTGAAATATCTTTTTCAATGCAGTTGCCCATAAAGCGCTATTTTTTTAATCCATTGTAAACACCGAAAGTGAGTCTTTAAACACATGTTAAATAAAAATGTACTGAAATCCTTTACTGCACACGTGCTTAAAAGTGTTTTTTTAATTTTTTTGGCCGAGCACCAAAGAAATTAAAAAAAAATTGATGAAAATATGTCAAACTTTAGAGGCAAATGTATTTCAAGGAGCCTAAAACGAATATTTTCAAATAAAAATGTATGACACGAAAAAATGTTCAAATATCACGTTTAATTTTAACAAATAATTTTTACCTTTAATACATACTTAGTTTTATTAACCTATATATTTGTTTTATTTCATTGCAAAAAGCATTGAAAAGTTTTGTAAGAAACTTGAGCCAATTCGTGCCAATGAAAACCCTCGCTACGCTCGTGTTTTCAATTTGGCCCTTATTCGTAAAACCTTACTTTCCGCACTCGTATATTAAATAACTATAAAAACATTAAATGACTTTTGTTGGAGGTTTTATGAATTTCTGTCTCTTGCGGGGTAAAGAGAATATCATTATGTATGTTGGCGAAAGATACATCTAACATACATCTTTCGCCGCATCCAATATCATTACTCTTTTCATACATGCTCGTCGGTTTCTATGACTTTTGATTTGCCAACACGCGATTGATTTGATTGTGAAAGGTGTGTCGTGGCGTTCCACGGTTTGTAAATTCTTCCACTTTTGCGTTGTATATCAGTTTTGTCATTCTTTAATTCGACATTCTTACCACATGTCCGAACCAACGTAGTATCT